CTGAACATATTGGTTCACGTCTGGGTCAGGGAACCAAATACAGACCCAGAGGTATTCACAAAATATCGTATCACAATGCTGACACAGAAGCATGGAGACAGACTGTGAAAGACAGACGACATACATCATCCAACTGGACAAGTCAATGCAAGTTGAACTGTGTATCCAAAAAGGAAATTACGGAGAACATTTCTTAAATCCTCCTGGTCGACCAAAGCTATATAGGCAGCATTTGTAAATATTTGTGAGAGACTCGGATTGAACGGACTGCATGTGCCGCTTCAATTGGAACTCCTGTCCATAATATATGCATATAAAAGACCTTCCCTTACAAACCACGAAGTTGAGTATTTGTTTTATTACATTTCTCTGATTCATGTCATTGTTTAAGTCATGTGGGTGTTCCAGATATCTAACAACTGTGCTTATGCAGGCCCTCCGGTCACCAGAGGTTGTGAGGCCGTGATCTTATAAAATCACCTAACCCTGATTTTATTACTTTTATCTAACTTGGAAAAATCCTTTTGAGATTGAAAAACCTCTTTTTCTAGGGAGTTCTTGGCAAGATGCAATTTACAAGCAGCTCTACAGAAATACAGGATCCAACTAAGAAAAAGACAAGGCAGGCTATAGATTTACAAATGCTTGTAAACCTAGTATACTAAGTCTATACTTTGAAAGGTGAATATTTTCAGGTTAATAGTACAAATTATGAGAACAATGTGTGTAAAGACTGAAATGAGTGAATCTTCATTGCCTTTATAAATACTGATACTGTGTGAGACAAACAAAGCAAGGACACAAATAAAAAGCAGGGTTGCGATCTCACATTTAATCACAAGTCGAACATCTTATGAAAGGTAGAAGACGTTAAGAAAGCAGTCCTTGAACGACTCGAGACAAGGCACATCTGTTGTCCTCAGGATTTGTCATTCACTAGCGTCACCCGGACAACAAGCCCCGCCCCCTGACAAACACTCACTTTTGTGTTGATAATTAGCAAGAAAAATAACATACAGACTAAAAATGTCAAGTCTAATGAGTCATTTCTAATAAGTCGTGTTGTAATCTATACTGATTATGTTTGTAACAAATGGATAATTGGTTGAATCAATACATGTATTATCTACTCAGTTATGTAAGCAAGTCCTTTTTATGTATATAGTGCATTTCAGACCAAGGCTTAAGCGCTTTACAATGTGGGGTAATTTCCATTCACTCCACACACATGCAGAAGCCATTTTCAGCTAATTATTTTGTGATTAAAGCACAGATTGCACATGGAAATACTAGCATTTTAAAGTTAATACTATATGTGCACTTTCTTGTGGAAGAACTATGAACAACTTGTATCCAAGGAGACATTACTGAGATGTTCCACAAAAAGACTTAAAATAAACTTGATTTGACTTTGGTTCGATTACATACGTGTTTGTGTTGGGCAAAATATATTTATTGAATATCTTTAACTTCAATTTCGAAACATTTGATGCCTCAAAGCTTCATAAAGCATTGAACAGAATATTTTAAGAGATTCTTTGTTCCTTCGGCTATAAAATAAAAACATATGCATTATTACTATTGTTAGTAACTTTTAGAATTATCCATTTACTTAATTCTGTATGAATGACACCTGAATTTTACCTATGGGGATCAATAGAGTATCTGACTAATGCTATGGTCAAACTTAATAATAATAATGCATCATTTTTACATAGCACTTTTCATGACACTTAAAGACGCTTCTCATTATTCCTTCACTCCATACACGGTGGTGATAAACTACTACTGTGGCCACAGCTGCCCTGGGGCACACACAGAAGCGAGGGAACCAGTATGTTCCATCGGCCCCTCCGACCACCACCAACCATTCACACACACACCTGACTCATTCTAGACAATGTGGGTGAAGTGTCTTGCCTAAAGACACAACAAATGTTTGGCAGCCGCAGCCGCCCCACTGTGGCACCAGGTGTCCCAGAGGTCTCCCATCCCAGTACTAACCAGGTCCTGCCCCCTGCACAGCTTCATAGGTCAAATGGGATCTGGCTTTTACATCCAGATATGGCCACATAGCACTGTAAAATCCATGTAACTAGTTTCTTGCTCTCAAAACAGTTTGGTTCTATCACTAGCATGCATGTGTTTTTATCTTTTGTCACATCTTTAGATCAGCTTCAGACCGAGACGAGCAAAAGAGAGGACCATCCTCACTCAGCCAATACGGTCTTTCATTAAATGCTGCAAAAACAATAACACATTTTTTTACCTCTTAACACCCACCGGCGCGCCGTTTTTATGTTTTTAAATGTTCTGCTGGCAATAGCAGATGTATTTTGAACACCAAACCCCAAAAGCTGTATATCATTTTAGAGCTTATTTTCTTATCTACATTTCTATACAAGTGTAAACTACATCAGACTTTGCATTCAAAATATATAACACATAATGTGGGCACAAAATAAATCAATTTCGAAATAGTTTTTTACCTTTGGGCTTGTGCTGTACAAATAAATCAGCTCTCCTCCCAGCTTGCAATACATCATTCTCTCTGGAACAGTCCAAAGGAAAATTATATCCACTTGTATTACCCAAAGTAAAATCCATTCTGCAGAAATAATCCAAAAATGTGCATTTATCTTTAGCGAAAAAAAAAAGATCACCCAAACATCTGGTATCCACGTGTTCCTTAGCTCCTATCTTTCAAATGAGACTATTCCCGAAAAGCTAGGAGCATTTTTGGATCCGCAACAGCTCCCGTGAGTACAGCTAGCGCTGCTGTTTGCGCATGGATGCCTGATCTTTGTTGTTGTCCCTACTTTGCATCTATTTCCTGGATTTTCGATTGACATGTCCGTGTAGCCAATGAGGAAAGCTTTCGAGCAAGGGGTGGGACAATGGTGTCCTGTCTTATGTTGTGCCTGTAGAATTGTGCGTAATGGCAGCCAAAAGACGCTCTCGAAGCTGCAATGAATTTACACTCATAAAAAAAATTACTTTGACATAAAAAAAAAAACACACATAGATTAGTAACTTATAAGTACCAATAATAAAAAATATTGTTTTTATGATGATTAAATGTCAGTAAAGATATTTGGCACAATTGTGCCAAATTGTGCCAAATGTGCACTACTTGATGAAAACTGCATACAAACTATAAAACTTAGAAGTCTGAAACTTTAGACAGTTGTTGTCAACAACACAATGACCACAGGGTTTGAATATTGTGAACTTACAATGAAGTATGCCTTTTTTAGGGCCTTTAGAAATTGAAAATGTTAGGCGAGGCTAAAAAAATTGGGTTTTTTTCCCAAACTTCAAAGGATGCAGAGGGAAATAGGAATGACAAACATTATTTTAGTGTTTTTTTACATAAACTAGAAGGCTCTAGCTTTAAAATGATGCATCACACAAGCATGTGAGATGTAAGATGTGTTTTTAAATAAGCAAAGATATTTGGGTATGCCCAACTTTTGTGCACAAGCCAAAATGAGGCGGGTGTTGAACAAGACAGCATCCAATTTGTTCAAAAAAATAGAAATGTTTTGAATCCTCTTTCAACAGGTATAATTAAATGTTAAATACAATCTTTTATATCCTATACTAAAAGTTTTCATAACTCATTGACATAACTTTAGCGTGGCAGTGGATAGAGACAGCAAAAAAACACAAGCACAGGAGGGAGAGGGAGGGCGTAAGATAGAAGACATGGGATTTACATTTCTCGTCGCCGCCTTCTGACATAGTGCCACAAAAGCAATTTCACAACTTAATTTGTATGGGTCTATTTTAGCTGTGCCACATATTAATGATGATTGCTGATCAGGCGAGTTCGAGTGCTTCCAACTTCATCACAAGAATTCCCAATCAATTCTGCACGCCAGACACCGACAACACCACTTTAAGAAGCAGCAGCCTTTCTCATTAGTCTCCATATTTCCTATACCGGCTTGAAAAATGAGCCCCAAAATGAACACTGCAAACCAGCCAGCCAGACAAAAGCGTGTTTATCAGGGTCTCGCGTGGAGTTTAGTTTTAATATTACATGAAACTCTGGATTAAGCTGCAACAGTGTGCGACAGGCAGACATAGTTTTGTTTGCCCCCTTGATTTAGCCTGCTTATCCATCACAACAATGCCAGATGAGGCTCCAGAAAAATACCATCAAAGCGCTCATTATTCATTCTCGTTTTTGGGAATTCATTTATGTCCTGCCCAAGAACAAACAGCGGAAAAAAAAGTCCCAACGAAATGTAACTTGAGGATGAAAGCTAATAGGGAGCCAATTAGGATGACTACTGAAGATTGTGAATTTTGAAAATAGCCTTTTTTTTGCTAGTGCCACAGCATGAAGTATTTCAGATTACAACATGTATTTTTATATATACCCTAAAGAAAGATTACATGGTTGAAGTCCTAACATGTGTGTTTTTCTTTCAGTCAGATCAAAACCGGTTTGCAGTAGGTTTATTATAATATTTCAAGTACTGTCTGTGTAAAGTTAAGTTATGGAAACATCAGTTATTCAAGTGTTACAGCAAAGATGATTTGATTAAACTACATAAATCTACATCGCAAAATACATTAGAAGAGCTCCATTTCCAGCCAATCTAATAAAGAAAACACTTCAGTCAATATTCATGCCTAACTTTATAATTAAAAAGTTATAATGTTACATAAAGAAAAAAAATCCATAGATTAAATTCAATTCAATAGAGAGGCTTCTTTGAAAGGTAAGGTGCAATAGAATACAAATAGTTAACACTTGATAACAAAATGACATTTGTGGGGCGGCTTTCAGAACAAACGTTCCTGAGCAGACATCATTCTCCCTCACTCAAAAACAGCAGTTGTTTTTTGACACTCCAGTCAAAATATGTTGCTGCTTTACTGAGTAGCTGGTTCACTGTGGTTCGTGAGACACTAAAGAGATTATTGTCAAACTCAACAGGAGTGGCCGCTCCAATCAATATCAACATGCACAAATCCTTTGGTCTCACCTTTCGAGGCCTCTGTGCTTTGTGGGTTTCCTTGAATCTCAGTCAGGTCCTTCTGCCATGCGTCTTTCACCGCAGACTTAAAAACCTTTCTGCCGCTCAGATCCTGCTGTGGTCGGAAGTTGTTTCTTAGATACTCCACGGACTTCACGTGGTCTTGCTGCTCCGTGGTAAATATGGAATAAAAGGACTCCAGCTAGAAGACAAACAAAACACCAATTGTAAAGGGGGAAAAGCATGATGCTGTCGGTTTGTGAAGATGCTGCTTGCAAAGACCAGAGCTCAACAGTTACATGGACTCTTCTCACCGTAGGCAGCGATGGCCACTGGCTTCATCATCCAGGCTACCTGCCGGGTTGTAACTTCTCAATGGGGCAAATTTGTGGCTATTGATTGCCATGAATGATCCCCCGCCGTGTGCCGTAATGACTACACATTACCAATACTGCGGAATCAATGTGCGCTATGCGTGGCTTGGGAGAAATGAATTACAGGTTCATAAAAGACTATCTGAGAGAGTCGCCAACACAGCGGCCCTGGTCAATATTCTGTCGCAGCACAAAGTCATTTCAAAACAAAAGGCTTGTCCTGCCGCAAGCTGATAGATATTCTACCAAGCCCTGCACATTTGTGCGGCACTAGAGGCTCTGCAGCTGGAGAACTGCATGTGTATAAAGGGATGCAGTGTAGGGGATCAGCAAAAAAGCACAGGGCATGATTTGGCATACATTATCTCCCCAAATCACAAAACAGAGTCTGAGGTGAGCTAACTGATACAACTCTGTGGAATTAGGGCTTTCCAGCAGGCCCTATGGTTGCAGAATCAATTCAATTCAACTTGTGCCTGTGTAAGTTTCTGGTAAAGAATACACCATCTCCTCTGAGATTCTGTCCTTTTCTTGGACCGTTCCACACATTGGCATTAGATTAGTTTCCACGGACACCAGCCTCGAGGGCATTTTTTTATTCATTGAGTAAATTCCAGACCAAATGTTTTAACACCATAACGTGAAAACTGTGTATAGGCAGCAAAGACATCAAAAACAGTTCGGTATTGCCTTGAAACCAAAAATGCTCAGGACTCTTTCTGACTAGTGTGGATGTCAAAACACATTTTTGGAATTTTTAAAAGGTGATGTTCAGTATCTGAGTAATTTCTTTAAAAAACACTAACACACAAAACCACATAAACTCTCACTGAAATGGTGACAATGTGTTTTACAAGTGTCCTTGACTTTAAAACCTGTTTTGAGCCGGCTGCTGCAAAACACACAAGGACTAATTAAGTCCTCGTCTGAGTCTTTGTTTTGTTTTTTTTCTTTTTAGATTTCAATGCTTATCCTTATTAATAGGGCAGGTTTTGCTCATAATCTTAAGCTTATTTTGAACTTGTGTTTTGCAATTAGTCTAATTAATAAACATGTGCATATAAAGACAGCCATCCAACCTCTTCAGTCATTTAGTATTTGTATGAGCTCTTAGGCATTGTTTCAGGCCAGCAGTTTGATATGCATATAAGTACCACATTAGCCTGTGGCTCTACCCTTTTCCCCCTGTCGCCGTGTAATCATCCTCTACATTGGCGCTTGTGAAGTCATATGCAGAGGAACTGGACTGGAATGTAGGGCGAAAGTAGAATTCAATATATATAGAGGAAATTTCAGTTGTGTTGATAGTCGTGCTCAAACCCCAGGGACAAATAGCATGGATGGAGGACATTTCTTTTCGACAAATAGATGAGAAATACATCAAGCGACTGAAACTATAAATCATTGATCGACAGCAGGGAATTTCCCCATTCGAAAATATACAGTCTAGGTCAGGGGTGCTCAATACGTCGATCGCGATCTACCAGTCGATCGCAAAGGTAGTATTGGTAGATCGCATTAAATAAATGAAAAAATTACACATTCTAAACGAATATATACAAAAAACTCCGGGCAAAGTGGAGATTTTTGAAAACTCCGTTAATGCATTTGTGTGTAGACAGAGATAACCGGAGTTTTGCGTTCTCGCACGCCACAGTACCCCCCTAAATTCCTCTGATCACTGAAGCCTGGATCATACGACCTTAAAAACTGTTCGCTGTGAGATGCTCGCAGCAGCGAACATCCTTGCTCCACATCAGAGAGCAGCAAAGTGATCGCAGGGACTCACGCTCGAAAACAACCAAACCAGGACTAAACCAGGACTAAACCAGGACTAAACCAGGACTAAACCAGGGCTGAGGACGGGGTCAGTGCTTGTAAACATACGTCTTTACTCTGAGTGTCTTCTATGACTGTAAAAGTGCCGTTACCGGCGTCTGCATCAGAACTCCGCCCACTTCTGTGTTTTTCCCCAACGCAGGACAGGACGTAAGAGACGCACATGTTTGGAATGTTACGAACGTGACTGATAACGCAGATGTGTGGATGCAAATTATTTTATAAACTGAGGAGGGGAAATATTTGGATTTAAATAAACCAGGCATGGCACATGGACATGGCACCACAGTCAAATGACATCTGTGTTTTACTCAGTAATGTTTTACTGACACTTAGGTGACTGCACATGCGCAAACAACCGCGCTCAGTGCAGGAAAGCTAAACCACGACAAACTTGTCAGCGAGTTACCACCAATTTTCCGGACAATGCATCCCTGGCCGATTCAATTCAGTCATAAGAGTAAACTCGGGTAATGACAAAAAATGTACATAGGTAATTGTGTTGTGTTGTGCTATATTGGCTCATGCGGTTTTGCATGTACATAAACATACATTGTAGGTATAAAGAATATTTTTTGAAATAAATATATGATTTGCATTTTTGTAGTAGGTAGATCATTTTGACTTGATCCTTTTATAAGTAGCTCGCACGCTGAAAAAGTGTGAGCACCCCTGGTCTAGGTCCAAAAAGTACTGCAATAAATAAGTAGTTGAATTAAATGTTGGCTACTTCTGCATCTACAGCTAGGGTTGCCAACTTGAGAACAAAAAAATAAGGGACACCATTTGGGTGGATCGGGTTGAGCACTTTTTAGTCCTAATTTCACTCTACACAGTTTCCCCTACTCCCTCAACTCCGGTTTCCCCTACCACTAACAATATGTACAAAAGGTCTGGCATGTGCCTCCTGTACTGGCCCCGCTCCCATCTCTGTGTGGACTAATGCCCAAAAATAACAACTGTAAACCGCTTTGTGATTCTGGTCTGTGAAAGGCGGTATATAAATAAAGATTACTTACATACAGTAATCATGGAATATCATAATCACAGGTTTTAGAATGCAATTTATTGACTACATATAAAAATAACAAATCCTTGGTCAAAAATGAAATGTAATTCTTTGGCTGGTTAAGGACTTCATGCATTCTTATTAGTAATAAAACATATATAGAAGACAAATGCTGTAACATACATTATTTATGGATGTTACAGTAAAGACCATTTACTGTAAAAGCAAATAAAAAAAGAAAAACATTTATATTGTCTGAGAGTTTAGTGCAGAACATGGCTTCAGTAAAAGCTATTGTTCGTTTACAAAGCTGGTCTGGACATTTGTTGACGCTCCCTAAGCGCTTTTCTCTGCGCTTGTAGCAATGGATTCAATGGATTTCTCTGCATTAAAACAGCGCATTGTATTTGAAAAATCAACGTAGAGATGATCATTTTAGCACAATTACTTTGTTTAACAAAGTAACTTTCGTGAGCTATTTACCGCGGAATTCCGAAACTGGGAATATGACGACTTTACCAAACTTCTGCTGTGATGATGCTGCGGCCGCGGCCCACGCTGGCGCTAGTCAACACCCATGTATGTTATCAAGCCTACGCCCCTTTGACACTCATTGGCCAAAAGGTAGACGCTTAAACTGTGATTACTGTGTGTATGTGTGTGTGTGTGTCACGCGTGTGACATGCAGTGAGTGAGTGATGCATTTAAGGTGGCTCTGAAAATACGGGACAAAAGCCGTCCCGTATCCATTCAATACATATGAATGCACATGCACATAGTTTTTCTATATTACGGGACAATTCAGTATTTCAAGGGACGGTTGGCAACCCTATCTACAGCTCAAATAAAATACTCAAATACATATATCCATATACTGTACACTTTGAGCCCCCGACACAGTGAATGTTTTTTAAATATATAGGCCTATGTATAACACAGAGGCTTATTGTGCGATATATACAAAAAATATTAATGGTATGTAATTAAAAGGTAGAGAATGCACCTGTGACTGCGATACATAGACGGGCTTGGAGAAGATGATCCACTCCACCACTTTGCTGCACGGAGGAGTGGTCAGGGATCCAGTGTATCGATAGTAACTGTCCACTGATGATGGGAGCAGGTCCCTCAGGATGAAAGACCTCAGGTTGGTCTCTTTTTCTGCAAAGAAATAAAGAAGGGAGAGAAAATGAATCAATATTTTTCAAGTTTGAACAAGTGGCTGTATGTGTTACAGCTGTTTAGTATGCAGTTCACTTTGGGCTTTGTGCTTGGACATGTATTTAAAGGGTGTCTGGAACATCTATAGTGTTTCATTTTTAAAAGAATGCATGCAAGACCATGTACTATCACATAGATAAAGTATATTTCATATTTGCAGTCTCCCTCCTTGGCTTAACCACCACCAATAAGATTTGCAGGCAGAGAATATTGGACCGTCTGTGTATCAAGAATGTAAATATATATTGTTCAATTAGTAAGCAGTCAGGGTGATAATGGGCTGGTCTGTGCAGTACTTTTTGTGGGAAAAGTAGAAATTCACATTGACACAATTCAAAACTGTAATTATCATTGCTTTGCCAAATTAACTAAACATACAACAACATATGACACTTTTGGAAGAGACATCACAGCTACTCCAAGGTGCCTCAACAACAACACACAAAAGCAATATCGCAGGATGTCTATTCAGATCGAGCGTGCCTGGTTCAAGAGACCTTGAGCTAGACTTGTGTTTCATATTTGCACTCCTCACAGTTTTCATTCTGACTGTGTACACTAAGCTACATTTGCACCAACAACAAGGTCATTCAATTTAAACAGTCCCCGTGGTATTTCACAGCCTTCCCTACACCATCCGGAGGAATGCTGGTGGCAACATTTAAAAGGCTTCAGCAGTTGTTATCACCGTGCTTGGATCAGTGTTCCCAGATGGGCTGCGCAGAGGGGAGTGGAGAGGGGGCGATGGGCGGAGGGGGGAAGCAGAGGAGAGGCAGATAAAATGGCCAGCTCAGACAGACAGCTGATCTCTTGTTGGGTGGCATCCCGCACTGCTTCATGTAACAACTGTGGTGCAGGCTGCTGGGATTTCACCAGATCTCAATGATTACCACATTGGTTCAGGGCAAAGCCATGTAAACCAGACAAGACACTGGGATCCCACACATCACATTGTGCTAACACTCTATGGGCACTCCAAAGACAGTCTATGCTCTATGGACAGGGGGAGCTTCAAATAGGGGTTATGTGGAGCCAAGAGCAAGTGATTAGATGAGGGAAGAGTTGCCAAATTTGCATCTAAGGCTGAATACCAAATGGTAATTAGTCAAGTAATACATGGAAATATAACTCCCATTTGAAAATTAAGTCACACTCTGATTAAAGTCACTACGCTTAGTGGAACAGGGAGCATCACGCCCTTCTCCACGTCAGTGCTGCTGATTCTGGAATGTTTGAATATTCCAAAGTATGGCATCAACCATCTGAAATTTACATTTAGTATATTTTCGGAGAAAAAACATTCATATACAGGTGAAACTCTGAAAATTAGAATATTGTTCAAAAGTTCATTTATTTCTTTAATTCAAACTATAATAAGATAATCTTATCTAATCTTATCTTAAAATGTGAAACCAATATATGATATAAAAAGGAGGACAGTCATGATTATGTTTAATTTTCTGTTTTTATTAGCTGTGAGCCAAAAAAATAAAAAAAAGGCTTTGCATACAATGCACATACATTTTGTAATAATCTTGCCTTCCTGGAGATAAACAAGTGCTATGCTTTATATTATATTATAATATCAGAACACAGAAAACAGGGTGGACTCCATCGTGATAAAAATGACATCAATACATTTGAGAATTGTTTTACCAAACTTCAAACTAATTTTACTAAACACATATTGATAAACAACTCACGTACATTGAAATGTGAGGGTAAATACAGTGATCACTTTCCAGAATGCTTGCCCTTATCTAAAGCGGACAGAAGTAGGGTGCGGTGTATGTTTGATGGCAGCACTACTGAGACACTGGGTCTCAAATTGAGTATTCACAGGCTTTCTACTCCTGCGGGTCTGCAGACAAGCGTACGTGCCCTATCGCTCACAGGCCAGAGAGATGCTGATGGATGCATGACGCTGGGATAACGAGTTTGAGGAAAACCAAACCATTCTAACAAGGGAGGAGGCGGGCAGCCAGCAGGCCGACCGCCATCCAAAACACAAGAAGGGGAAAAAAAGAAAAGCGGCCGCTGCTTCCACACGTACGCACAGATGAGAGATAGTGGGGTGCAAGCACAAACATCTGTGTAGAGGCGCACCACACTGGTAAAATACAAGCTCAGCCAGAGACAGATTGGCCTCCATAAAGGACTATAGTGTAAGCTGTACTGAACGATCACATTCATATTTAAGCTTCGCTGTTCTTTTGGCAGCTGTGAAATTAAAATCACATCCAAAATGGCCTCCCAGCTCATAATCAGCGAATCTCATTAATCAAAGCAACTCACCATCGTGTAGTGTACTTCCAATTATCTAACTGATGTTAAAGGTTGCCTGTGAACCTTTAGTTTTTAGAACAGACATGCCATTAGGGGAAGTGTGTGGTTTTAGCAGCAAGTTTTTATTGGAGACCAGTTTGTTTAGCTAATGATATCTGCCCAAAAAGCATTAAGGCACTTAACATAACTTCCTTCAGGATTAAGTGGGGAATAATATTTTTACATACTGCATTTTCAAGGAATTTTCAAATACTGAAGTTTTCTCTTCTTTCTTTTATAATTAATTTTATTCTATTTGGCAACACTGCTGACCTCACGTGTCAGTCATCTGTGTAATAATGTGCACTAATGCCAGAATGTGCAATATAGGGCCACATGTGTCCACTGCCACTAAGTCAGTTTTTTTTCTCATGAGATTTGGACAGAATCTCACACATGCTTCACCTGTGACTCCTGTAATAAGGAAATGGCTCCAAATTCAACAAATACAACTCCTAATGACCCTGTGACAAACCCACACACTGTTATAAAGACAGCCACACAGCACCACAGCAAGAAAGTCCTGGGTTTGATTCCACCTCCAGGTGTGGCCTTTCTGTGGGGAGTTTGAATGTTCTCTCCGTGTCTGTGCAGGTGCTCCGCTTTTCCCTCCCACTAAAAACATGTACAATGAGTGAGGGTTGAATAAGTTTGTGTTTGTGGGTGTGACTGTTTGACTACAGATGGAAATTAGCTACAAAAGCAACAGTCTGGTGTAGCTCTGGTTTACAGCTCCTGCTGTTCCTTAATACACTGTACACCCGTAAAAGGCAAGGCAAGGCAAGGCAAGTTTATTTATATAGCACAATTCATACAAAAGGCAATTCAAAGTGCTGAACAAAACAAGAAAGCATTAAAATCATAAATAATCACAGAACATTAAAAAGAAAGATAAAAATATAAAATCCCTCAGTTGTATGCACAGTTAAACAGAACTGTCTTTAACCTGGTTTTAAACATTGTCAGAGAGGAGGCCTGTCTCAAAACCATATGGACTGTTCTCTGTGGCGAATTTTTATGCCATATTGTGAAGGACTTGTGCGAAAGGTAAATTTTTTTTAAGGGCCATACATTAAAACCACACACTATATAAACTATTTTTTGTAAATACAAAGATCTGTACTGTGGTTTTGTTTGAGAGAAGTGAAGTTTGAAATGCTATTATCATACAGACAAAACAACAATCAAAACTCGTCTCAAAACGAGTGGGCATGTCCAGTTCTTCAGCTAATCCAGCAAATTGTTATTCAAACCACAGTCGCTGTTAATCATCTTCAGTGCCTCATGCACAAAATCACATGTTAGCAGCCCCCAGGAGAGGCACCGCGACCAACCTTGATATTATTTAATCAGATACAGATATGCTCCTTCAGTTTGCCATGTTAAAAGTGCCGACAGCAGGTAGTCAAGCAAGGCGTTCATATCCATGTAAACAAACCCGCAAGTCCCTAGACACAGTGAAGGATTACGCACTTAAGACTAAAACAGATGCTTACGGCCTTAAAAGCAGTAATGCATAACAATTTGTGATAAAAGCACAAGTCAAAGCATAACGTGCATCTTCAACATAAGGATCATAATGAACGGCAAAGATGCAACGTGAAGGCACAGCGGTATGGACCCAAGCATTCACTAATTGATGCTCCAATGTAATTAATAGTTGTGTCTTTTAAGTGTGTCGATGTACGCGAAATTCTGAATTTGCCTCCTTTTGAAGATAAACTGCAGCATCTTAGCATTCATTGAGAGTCCAATTTGTGATTTCGGTCATTAATCCTGCCACCTTAGAAAGCAAGTCAGAAATTTGTCAGAAGTACTGTGCTAAAAGTCTTTACATACACATGAGTCTTTTCAAATAGAATGAGTCCAAAATATCCATGCAGAAATATACCCGTAAGATTTAGCTTTTGTTAGTTTATTTCATATACTGTACCTGAGTCACTAACTGTAGCGTGAGTCACTAACTGTCCAAGGGTGACAAGGCTCTTTTTGTACCAGTATGCGAAATATAATAGAGCAAGATGGCACCAGCATGTTGTGGTCTGTTTTGAAAAATTGTCAAAAAGTTTCTCTGGCTACAATCTGCATAACATGTTTTGTTATTGGCAGTACATTTGAAAGGATCTGCTCAAGAAGGGGTGAAGCTTATTTGTATGGCACTAAAATAGATGGCTTTTCATAATAATACTTGGCAAAGGAAAAAATGTAAGTCTTTCAAATATTTTTTCTAATGACACCTATCTGCTTTTGCAAAGTAAAATTCATCATTTTACTTTTACACTTTTACTGTTTTTTTATAGTTTTTCCTCGCCGATGCAGGAGGGTCTAAGGACAGCGGTGATGATCCAGGACACTAACCATTCGACAACATTTATGGACATTGGTCATCTGTCCCTTATGGCCCAATGGGTCTATACATTTTGTTTTTTAGCATTGCATTTCTTGTGTTTGAACCAATTCTCTGACCTGTGTTGGCCAATTCAACGGTTTTGTAAAGTCCTCTAAAATAACTACTGTTGAGATTTAGGGCTATACAAAAAATGAATAGAATAGAATAGAATTATCATCAAAATATAAAAGTAAAGCACCCCAGCTTTAAACTTGGTCATTTTCCACCATATCTGACCACATGTTTATTCCAATAGGTTTGTACACTTGTGCTTCCATGTCCAGTGAAACCATTGCTTTGAGAGAGTGCGTTCTCACCATGATGGACGACTCCCTTCAGCCCCTGGATGATAGGCTCCACAGCTGGATTGTCTTTCTGCCCCAGCTGTAAAAAACACGTCCAGAGAAAAAAGGATTACACAGAGATTACAGCGCTGGGCACCATAATCTGACATAATAACCAAAGTGGGTCAATATAAACAAATCAGAGTGTGTCAACACTGGGAGCAGCAGCCTGGAAATTCAGGGAAATGTATTTGCAACAAGATTAATGCAACGTGTGAAGACGCTGAAGCGGTATAGACACATGTTTGAGGAGAACGTTTGGGAGGTATTTCTGTAGAAAAGATTGGCAGGTGAACTCTACATAAATATCCCATACAAAACAGGAAGAGCTTGTTGATTATTAGCATCTGAGGATTCTATCCATTCTAGCATCAGCCAAGAAAAAGAAAACTGCATTCTGCATTCATTTGTAAAACCTAATCTTGCAGTTTCTCACATAGAAAACAAACAAACAAAAACATTATTCATTACACAACTATGGAATGTGAAAATCAATAATGCAATGCTTCTAGTTTGGCTGCTATATTTTATTGTAAAACGTATAGAAATGATGTGCAAAAATGTCATATTTCAAAGGCAACTCACTGGTGATTTTATCCAAATCTCATTTCTTAAAATTATCTTCATTGTTAACTTTCATTACTATGTGCAAGGGAAGTGTATTACATTTACAAAAAATATAAAAATAAAACTCATATTTGGTTAAGCAAAGAATCCCAATATATATTGTTATAGCAGTTCTTGATACAAGTATTGCAAATTCTACCCGTTTCCAATATTGCACTTTCTCACTCAACATTAGATAATCGATTACCCCAAAAGTTATGGCATTTCCGATTTGCTCTAATGGACCGGAATAATCTGCAAAAGTGAACAATAATACTCTGAGAGCTAAAGTGTCCCCAGAGAGCATAGGAGGATACCTTTTAAGTTCTCTTTATGACTCACTACAACACACCATTACTGTTTAGCTGCATATTTTACATTATTCCCAATGTCCTACTTAATAGACTAGGCTGGACAAAACAGTGCTGGGACATTGGGACCCATTCTCCCTTGTCGAACATTAATTCAGGTCAGTCAAAGGAGAATAATTGTGTGGGAATGAATGCTGAATGTGGATAATATGAGCACCTTGGAGGCCATTAATAGGCCTTTGGGGAGCATCCAAAGAAGTCCATCCATTGATTAGAAGTGGTAGATCTCAGCCTGTGTGTGTGCTGGCTTTAGAATGTCCCACGGTAAACTGCAGCTCAGCGGATTGTGTACGCTGGTGCTAATTGCAGTAAGCAATAGGGCTGTCAGGATCCAGCGGAGGCATTTAGGTGCTGCTTACGTGCACGGTCCATCACTGTCTAAGAACAGACCTACATTGGAAACACCTGTGTCCCCATTCCAGCCTCGCTCTGCTGGAGAGCTGACCTCGGCCTGCGTACCATTGAGTCCAATAGAGGCAGCTATTGATCACATGGGATTAATCTCACACTTTCTTTGAACAGAAAATTAGGGAGACAGCTAGTTTGCCGCGGTTCATTAATTCCTGAATTGGCTTAGCTCAAATTGGGAATGTACAGGTCCAGCTTGGGAAGAGGCCTTTCAGGGCAATCTGCTGTATTTTGTTATATGTGCATATTCAGACAACAGGAAAGCAGTCACAATATACGATTTACAAAAGCCGGAAAGCTTTAAATCCTTATCTAGATTATTCCAATTTTGAGTCATGGGTGCCTGCTGGAGCCCATCCAATCAAGAAAGGCCCCTGAGGCTCTGGGCAGCTGGTCACAACTCCGATATAGAATGACAAGCAACAGTTCACTCTAATTTGTTCACTGGAGTCACCAAGTCGCATAACGATTCATACAGAGTGATGCTTGGATAAGAATAAGTAAAAAAAGTATAGTTATGGTGAGTCAGTATGAAAAATACTATAATTGAAAAGTGTATTATTTTTCCCTTTCATAACATTTCATTCCATTTAGATGTGCAGTCCTTTACATGGAAAGCATTCAAACACAAAGAGAAACAGACAGCATTGTTCCCGAGTCTCTCATGCTAATTCTCTCACTCTTACCTCAAAGAAAACGGCCATAGCCGCTATTATGCGCCGCTCCTTGATGGCGGCACTGAGGCTGTCGAAGTCATCTGAATTGTACAGGTAGATCTGCATCTGTGAGGGGGAAAAGCACAGTGTAAATAAACAGCCGAGCTCAAGGAACGGACAAGGAGAAGCCCGAGTCGTGCCATCAATCACCCGGACACAGTGCTAAGGAGCTGATGAAAAGCTCTTTGGAGGGGCATAAAAGAGGCTGTATTTACCACCACCATAAATCTCCTATAATCTGTGTCATTCCTTTTTGTGCTCTGCCACTCCAAGGATGCAGGAGAAATATGGCCCGGTGTCCTCAAACACGCTGCAGTCGGGAGCACCGCTCCTCTGTGATCAGATCACAGAGAATAAAACCCTTCGCATAATTACCTAAAATCCTCCACCATGACATGAAGCAACACTGACGAGCTTTAAGTACAATGTAGAAAGCACTAAATTAATGATTTCAGTCACAGGCTCGATGCATTTGAAAAATGTTATTCTCTCTCTTCAAAGCAGACATTATAGTGGCGCTGATTAGGATCAGCAAATGATTTTAAAGCTCGCAATTGGGGCCGTCTATCATCCCAAAGGCACAAACCTCTCTAAATAAAAAATCGCTTCATGTCTCTAAATAGAGGTAATTGCCAATAAAAAAGGACCAACCAATGTTGATTTAATTTAAGCTTTATTTTTGTCTTTTTCAAAGGAAACATTATGCTGGCGAGAACTGGCAGCGCACAAAAAACAAGTGCAAAAAGTCACAGCAAACATTATCTAAAATACTAACCACAGTCAAGACCAGAATCAAATATTTTAATTTTGGTTAAATATTTTCCCAGTAAAAAAAAGCAAAGGGCCAATTATCATACAGTCCAAAGGATTTCAGATCATTTATTCTCAAAGAAAAAAAAAAAAAATCAGCAAATCAGTTACCAAAAAAGATCAATTGCAACAAGTTTTATTACATTATGAATAAAACATGACTTAAAAGTACAACATTTATAAAATATAAATGTACATTGTTAGACTGTACACAAGCATTTAAAGGATCTGGCTAAAAGTGGTACTGCACTCTCCCTGACTCAGGTTGCCAGATACTGTATGCAGACAAATCCAGCTGGGACTTAGTTTTGTCATAAAATAATTTATAACCAACACCTTTTTCACAAAGGCCCGGATTTAAACCTTCACATTTAAATGTACATACAGCAAGTTTCAACATAACCTCAAAAGGAAAAGCAGGTGCATCACAAACAAGGCTGACATTTTGACAACCACTTAATATTCCATATCGGTCTAATATCTTACAGCCAAAGAATTCTTAATGACTCCCCATCAGTGCATGCAAATAGCGCCAGTAAACAAGCAAAACAGGCATTACCAGCCTGCACCAGCTTCACACGGCTCTATCCAGATAATACGGGTTAATCACTTTCTCTCGGAGTTCCTTTAACCGAGTTTTAATGGGACTAATTTGTTGTGTGAGAACTCAGCAAGAAAGAGCAGTGGCCCTTCATCAGCCTTCAGATGTTATTAACTACATTAGCCAATTATGCTGCCCCCTCCCCCTCTCCCTCCCTCGGGCTTCATTTACTCTTTCAGGCCGTGTCACGTGACCCGCACACTACTACGTTTCTGAATAAAAAATAAATAAAGAAGTGACGTTCAATTATCTGTCATTTCAGAGCGGCCACTAAAACTATAAACTGCTGCCAAGCGCTTCTCGCAATAATATCAGCAGTTCATTTGTCTCTGCCATCGTGACATAAAAGCTATTGAAAAAGAAGAGACACCGAGTTAAGTGCTGGACATAACGTACTCTCAAATCTTTATGGACGTGTTTATGCATGTTTGGTTTGCTCGGATACAATCTGCGAGCGCCGAGTGTGTGACTGATGTAAAGGCAAATTTGGAAATGATAAGCGGCGATAAACAACGTCTGCTTGAAAGGAACAGGTGGAAACGTAATGACGGGAAAACATTTAAGCTTTGTCATTTTGTCAGAGATTTCTCCACGGACCACACGCAGCAGACTGTCCACGGGCTTTTTCCGCTGTTGCAGTCTAAAAAGTCGTCTCATTTCTCCCGACTTTCATGTTGTTGTTTCTTGAGTACAAAGTGAAGGCAAACTCCAAGCTGAAAGTTGTTCTGCATCCCCAGGTTCGATTTAAGCACAGTGGTGTTTAGCATGATTTCCCCAGGCGGCCAAAATATTGAGGCAAAACAAGAAAGTTATAAAACAGGTTTTGGAAGTGAGGAGTTGGTTTTGCGGGAGACAAACGTGTCCTCTTTTTTACACTTTTATTCCAGCCTAGAACAGAGCTGCTGTGAACAGTCAAGGATTCCCCATATTAAATGGAGAACTGTTTAAGATTTCATGAGAGAATGTAATGCCACCTAAAAAGCAAAACCCAAGAACTCCAGTTTAAATAGTAAAATAGAATATGCAATTTCAGTGATTTTGCTCTAAACAGTATAGGCATTATAGTAAATAGTAAGTAAGTCCAGAGTCACAAAGCGCATTATCATTGTTGAGGGCTTTTGTCTCTCACTCCGCTCCACACTGCAATTGGAGTGGGGTCGTCATAGAGGAGGTGCATGCCAGCTCTATACATTTGAGTTCAACAATTCAATTTATTTATAATGTCTGATGTTTTGTTTAAAAGTACAGGTGATAAATGTTACGACTGAAAAAGAGTTAGTTATTGCACTGAATTTCCCTCATAATTAATAAAGATAAATCCTGAGGATTAATATCCTTCAGGATTGATATTGTATTTGTATGGGGTTTGCAGACTTTTATCATGTTGCAATGGGATATCATTTGTAGAAAAGCTGTCCTTATTGGCATTGAGCACGATACAAGGCCAACATGAATCCCAGTTTCTGTGGCAATAGTTCCCAAGGCCATAATTGAGAAAACATAAATAATAATTTATCAATCAATCAATCAATCAATCAACGTTTATTTGTAGAGCGCCTTTCCTACACAAGGCAACGCAAAGCGCTTTATCAACTTCAGACATTTACATAATATATCTAACAAAACACAAATACAAACTAACACACACACACACACACACACACACATCACCATTACATAGTCATACTGTGCAATTTACACACGTCCCTCATATCTTGAAACACAAAAACAAATTTGTGACAATTACATTTTTGTTTAGTGTATTACTATGACGAATATCCACCAGATAACACAAACAAATGAATTGCCCTTTAGTGGCTGCAAATCTTAATTCATTTCAACGGCGGCTCTCTGAAACAACTACAATCACACTGGCTGCAGTGGCTACTGTATTTCCCCCGTTTAAACATAAAACGGCAAGTCTATTGAATGTTAAAAAGGTGTCATAATAAGTCAGCCTACTTCCAAATGCACCTAAAGCATCCCCATTATGTGCTGTAACGTCCCCACAGCCCAACACATACTCATACATGAACAGCCCACCCTTTCAAAGCATGATTTGTAATCCATGTATAATTAATCTAACCCCAGCGACACAGTCATATATTATTAGAAAAGATCTCCCAACGGTGGCCTGGGGGAAAAATGTAGCACTTTCATTTTTCATTACGTTGTTTGTGCGAACAGGTGGTCCATCTATCGATTTCCCCACTTTCACTCTGCGGAAGGAGCGTGCTTAGATTAATGTTAAGCTTTAGAGGGACAGCCTGAGTCCACTGCTGCCGTGTTTAAATATAGTCGTGTGGCAAAGGCCAATCCCCATTCTCCAAAACTACATTTTAAAAAGTGATTTAACATTCCAGAAAACCCCTTTTTATTAATGAAACATGCAGCTGAAATATGTTTTACCGAAGACAGAGATATAATGACGTGTACTTTATGCCCACAGCAGAAATACCAGAATGCGTGTACAGAGAATATATATTTCTTCAAATACTAGTGGCTTACAAAAGTACTACAAGTACTTTGGCAACTTTCTGCCATGTTGATAGGGGTGCATCATGCTATGGGCCTGCTTTTCCTTAGCAGGAACAGGGAAGATAGCGGATGGCGCCAAATACAGAAACATTTTGGAATAAAACTTGCAGGATGCAGCAAAACACTTGAGGCTGAAGCAAAGATTTATCTTTGAGCAATCTAAAGCCAATTGGAAATTGGAAAAGCTCACAAACACTCTACGTCTACTCTGAGAGAGCATGAGTTGTTTTGTAAAGACGAATGGCCAAAACGGTGTCCATTTGTGCAAATTTTGTTGCGTCATACGTCATGTCTTTTTGCGACAAAAGGTGCTGCTGTGATTGTGGTGTTGTATGACACAAACAATCACACACACAATTTCTTGAATAAGGCAAGCATGTCTCATTTTGATTTCACTTAATTTTGCTTATTTTGTTGCAGTTTTTCAAGACGAAAAAATAACAACTAAAATCTTGGCAGAATGTACAAAAGTTCAAGTTGTTAGTTTGTACATTTGAATGTGTTTCAGTACAGTACAGTAGTAAATCTACCTGACCAGGAGCTCCTGCTCAGCAGACTGAACAGTGTGATGTTTGAAATGAAGAAGACATATTTACTGTGTGTGTCAGGACATGCTTGAAGAAGTCCTAGTCACAAAGGGCAAAACGCAATCATTTGTGAAATAAAAATATTAATTAGAGAGGCAATTGTGAAGCATGTCTGTTGAGTGAGACAAACAAACCCAGGGGCCAGCACCTCCAAGGTTAGACCACTAAACCCTCTATAGCAGGCTACTTCACAGACCAGCGGCCGTGAAACAAACACAAACAAGACATTTGAAAACACAGACAGAACCCCGAATGCACCACAGAGGCACCAAAAGAAAAATCACATATTGCAGGATGTAACAGATAAACAGCCGGCGGCGTAGAGTAGATCCATATTGCTACATTCCCCTCAGCTATCCATCATTTTGGTTCACTTTCACCTCCATACTTCTCCCAAGGAAATAATGGATCACATTGGATATGTAAATTCTGATTCATTAATAATAAGAATAATGTAAAAGTACACCTATGTGGCCATTTCTGTCGATCTGGGAAAAACAACACACACATAATACTTATTGTTATATATTGCAGTTTGGTTCGTGCACAGAATGCTCAGTGATGCATTTTCCAAAACAAAGGTCAAGTCCTGTGTACATTTGAATACGTCACTGTCTCGCGTTGGGGCTTAGTTTTTTCTAAAATGGTAATATCCTTCAGCGCAGGGTCCGTGGCGTCTCATACAAATCTTCAATCTTCACCATGTGTCAGGCTGGCTCTCTCTGCCTGTTCTTGACATGCATGTTAATGGGATAAATGAGGAATGGGGCCTTGCGATTATGAAAAATCTGCCACAGGTTTTTGCATCCAAAGAGAATAGATTGAATCTCCTCTGCTGTGAGCAGAAGGTCAGACGGTTTGTATTTACTGATCGCAGTCGGTTGAACAGGACAGAAAAAACAAACCTCACTAATTGTGAATATTTGTCAATAATATTTTAAAAATGTATAACTGCGTAAACACAAACTCATTTTAACGGGGTACATTTATTAATTAATGCAAGTGTGTATTTTGACTGAAGGTTATGCTCCTGCACAGCAAAATTACACAAGGGTCATATTTTAGGCTGATGAGCACCTGCCCGCCTGGATCGTTCCATGCTCGTGCATGTTCCAGGCTTCTACCACTGGCACATATCTGAAATTAGCGCTTGGCACCCTATGCGCTGCACTGCTCGAGCCTTTCTCCACCGGGGCGCGTAGAGTACAGCAGGCGTTTGAGAAAACAAAAGACTAACTTGAATGAAAAGAAACAAAAGAGTATCCTTTATTAGACAACAAGTTATTTTTACTATTCTAAATAGTTCTAGCACAATCTCTGCAGATTGGTTAGAAAATCCAAAAATTGGGGGGATTGTATTAAAATAAACTTTTTCCTTCATCCAATCCCTTTCAAACCAAATCAAGGGACATTTAGAACAGGGACAAATGTGCAATAAACAATTAATTGTAATTAAGGCTAAATTGAAATTAATTGTTTGTGAGTTAAGAAGGACATTAATATGATTAATCACAATTACATATTCTAATAATTGACAGCACTGGAATAAATGAAAAAACCACATTTTGGACTTTATGCTGTGTGGTTTATGGTGTATAGTTTACAAGCTGCAGGGCTGTACCTTTGAACAGCTGCTGAGTCGGTCATTAACAGTAAACCCTTGCAGTCTTATTTAGCCAAACGCCATCACAGCCTCCATATGCACATCAGCTTCATAATGGCCATATATACTGCCGTGCCCTTTAACACAAGGCTGAACACAAAATTATGTGGCGATAATAAATGTAATTACTCAGGCTTCAGCAGAAAAAAAGATGAGGAGCCACCAACAAACAGTCATTTAGGATTCCTCTGTCACGGTGTCGTCTATTGTGCAGCAACAAGAAATGTCAATAAACTGCCACGATACAAAGAAAGGCATAAGTGAACTTTCAGACAAAACACAGACGGCCGGACCAACAAGGACTTTCAACAAACATCTATTTGTCTCCTTTTTATAGTTCACCTTTATGACAGATGATCGTCTTTCACATCAGTGGAACAATGCTCTGTTTCTGTGCATTTAGCGGCTCCTTTATGTTCTTAGAAAACATGCAGAAGCCGCAGCTATAATTTGATTAAATCATGTTTGTTTGCCCAGACCTGAGAAACAATTTATCATACACTTTATGCAGGCACATTGCACTTAGCCATTGAATTAGTTGGTTTTATTATTTTTGAAGAACCCTTGAGATGAAAACATATATTTGAAGTACCACTCAACCTCTCTATGAACGTCATGTTTTGTGTTGTAGTAATAACAGTTTTATGAAAATAATTGTACGACGATGACCTTTGTGTAACGTTTTTGAAGACCTGTAGCAATATGAATGTATTGAACAATTATGACATCTTTTTATTTTGTAAAATAGTTAAAAAATAAGTTATCAAAGAGTTAGCAGGAATGACGACTGCTTCCTTTTCATGTTCTCTCAAAAACACCTACAAAATAACATCAGATAATCTCACCTCCACTGGAAATGTTCTGCTGTTGATGCTGTGTTCAGAGCCGGCTGATCCGTCCGCTTGTCCCCAATGAAACTCCATTTTCTCGGCTTTGAAACGACCGGGCAGCCCCGCTCCAAATACAAAGTACTCGTCCTTCAGGTAGATGGCCACTAAAAAGAGCAAAAAATGTAATCCGGTTAATTTCAATTTGTTTGAATTGCATTTATGTCTTTGGTGCTGGAGAATTAGAGCTTTAGTATTGCTTACAACCCGCTATTCTGAAGAAAGCACTATGATTTTCTTTTGAGATAATTCAATACAAAATATTACTTAAACATAGTATGTGATTTGGGAAAAGTGGTATTCATGCAATAATTTAAACGGAATATTTGTATGTTTGATTTATTTGGGATGTGCAATCTACAAATCTTTCAACAAGATAGGGAAAGTGAACATTAAGGGAATTGAAAATATGTGTCCCTACTGTATTTAAAAATGTCTTTCTTTAATTAATCTTAAAATGGGAAACAAATACATGATATAGACACTGTACATGCAAAGTGACGTATGCCAAGCCTTTGTTCCTACGTTGATAACACCTTTGTCTATGCCCTTCTATCCTGGATATTTCAACAGATTTTTGAATTTTTCTTCACATTTTAAGTGAATGTCAAAAAAAAAAAACAACAACTGTCATATGCACTTTAAATATAATCCATTTTAAGATATCCTGCCCTTTGTTTAGCTTCACCCTCTCTCCTCCCAGGGCACCACCATCTACCTGAGCCATCATTAGCCAGATTACGCCACCGCGCTTTCCCTTGATCCTCGTTTTACAGAGAGATTTAGTCTGGCCTCAACGGCACATACGGACCGCCTACTGCTGATCACACCACAAAGCAACCTGCCAGAACGAGCATGTGTATACAGCCAAAAACACACAACAGAGCGGGGCGCACACAATGCATCCAACAAGTAAAGAGCCATGTTGGTTTGGGGCAGTGCGACGCAGAGGAGCGAGACGCGACAATCTGGGCAGACGGGGGGAAAATCCTTCAAGTGCTGAGAGATTTGACAGATGAGACGGGCGAGTAAATATACCAACAACCTCCACGTCCAATCATTTAAAACAGTACTTAATAAAACAATATTATCGTTGCTGGTGGAGAATAATTGTGGCCATACCTGCAGATCTCGTCAGATTTCTGAAGCTAAGCAGGGCAGGGTCTAGTTAGCGCTGTGATGGGAGAACTCTGGGAACAGCAGGTGCCACAGTTGGGGCGGCTGCGGCTGTACAGAGCTATGCTGTTGTGTCCTTAGGCAAGACTCTTCACCCACATTGCCTAGAATGAGTCTGGTGTGTGTGTGAATGATTAGTGGTGGTCGGAGGGGCCGATGACAAATACTGGTTGCCTCGTTCCTGTCAGTGTGCCCCAGGGCAGCTTTAGCTATAGTAGTTTATCAGTGAATGAGTTTCCAGAAAAAAGCGCTATATAAAACAATAAAGCATTATTATCATCATTATTATTATTATACCGTGTATGGCATCTGTTAGAAGAAGGTTTATTAGCGTATGGGAAAAATAGATACAAAAAAATTAGTGTGAGCTAAAGGGACAATTCGTCAGTTTGATGAGAATATCTCTGGAATGGGACTACTGTGGTTTGCAATAAAGGCAAAAATGAACATATTATGCAAAGTTAGAGGTTGTATTTTGAGTGATTCAGGCATATTTGTGAGCCATTTAAAGCAGAGCGGTTTTTGTTGTCACTGGGATCAGGTTGTGGAACAGCTTGGATCATAAATCAGAGGAATCTCAAATCACTGTCACTGAAACGCTTGATTAAAGATGCATTGATTTATATTTTAAAAAAAGTATATTGTACAAACAGTCTTTGACATCATGAAAACAACTGTTAATTCATATAATTATCTATGTCTCTCAGCTGGCCTGGGAACGCCATGGCATGGCAGTCTAGGCGTCTCTGCTTCATCCCGGCAACGGATCAAGTGGAAGAAAATGGATGGATGCAAAATTGGTTGGAAACTAATTGCTGCTGTGAAAACATAGTGTAACACCTGCTTAATAAAATTAAGTTAGGGTTTTCAGACTAGGTTCTAGAGGAGTAGGAAGGAGAAATAATTCAAGTTGAACAGCCGGCAGATTTATTACAATTTAACAATTGCACTTAAATCAAAACAAAAACAACATGTAGCGCTCCTTAGAAAAATAAAATAAAAGTAGTTTGATTGTCTTTAGTCCCGATATACAGGAATGTTTAGTGTGAAATTGGTCTTTCGCAACTTGTTGTCCGTTGGGATATGTATTTGTTGTTCTTATCTGGGATCCAAAGGGTTTGAAGTGGTCAGGTCTTTATCCAGAAACCAGAACAGCTGGCCACACTGTTCCAGAGTCTAGAAGGGAGTTCACTGGGTCTGGCTCGCCATCAACTTCAGTGTTCAACCCCAAGATCCGTTTCCAGCACCACTAAAAAAAAATAGTCTGCACATACAGTACAGAACAATTAATTAAATATTCTTAATAGTAATATCTAGTCAAATGAGATCTCATAAACTCATCAATGACATTGTGAATTCCCATTATTTTGGATCAATGAAATAAATGAAATGCTTTACAACATTACATCAAACAAATATTTTGTCTACACCCTTTATCATTAAAAAAAAAATCCCTTTATGAATTTCCCTCTAAATTAAATGACAATCTGCAAAATTGGCATGGCATAAAATATGACAATAAACATGCCTATTTCCACAATGAAACTTCAACATAAACAGTGCTTTTCATGAAAACTTCGTAAAATTAAATAAGGCATTGAATTTTTAGCACAATACCCTTTTAGGGTTCAATACTCAGTGGTTTTATCTTATTTAGCATTTAACTTTTTAGCATTTCTCGTAACAAGTGCAAAGCAAAAGTGCGTTCCGCGAGCTTATTACATTCTAATAACTCACCAGAGTTTCCAAGAAACAACCACACTCCACACGGTTTGATTTTTGAGCAAGACACTCTAAAGCACTGCAAAGTACATATTCTTAAGTTAGAAGTTGTTTAAAAAGTACATTTTATACACTTTCATCTTGTTAACTCACTGTGCAGCTTTCTCATCTGCTCTCCGTGTCTCACTGCGGTCTCTATCTAGACGCAGGCCGAGTGTGCCAGGTGTGTTCAAGTTAGGTAGGATAGGTGTGTGGTGCGTTCAAGGGGCGTTGGAAATAAGGGCTTTCGACGATGTTATACTAGTAACCATGGATTTACATGGGTTACAATTGGTACGACTGCCTCTTGAAAGTTTAGAGGTTTTTATTGTCTGTTTTTTTCTTCTTCTCCGTGTCTGTGTTGATCTGGACCTTGAGTCTGCAATAAAGTTATCCATCTATTTAACAAGTCTCGGCCTTCAACATGCCCCTGTTCTGAGATGACAAAAGTGAAAAGATAGAGGACCCAGCCCATTGTCTGTTTCTTTCAAGTATGTAAAAGATAAGCTGTTTTCTAATGAGATGGAGACAGCATGTTATGGTCCGATTTGTTCCCAACATCCCCACTACTACAAGACTTTTTGTTGGGAAAAACGAAACACATTATAAATGAATTACAAAAAGCTGTAAGCAATATCCATGTTAGCAGTGGCTTGTCAGCATTGCTACATACAAGATACAAGAATTTATTTGCCATTTGTAGTAAACCACATAGCTCTGTACATCAACTATGAGCGAGATCCAACCGCCAACAGCTCCGACGCCACATCTTAACGGTTTGGCGGATCAACAAGCTCCGAGTTAGTCAAATGTCACCAGGGCAAACACGAACATGAAACGCATCTCCATTCATGCGTTGAACTCCATGCAAATGATCAGTCTCACTGCTTTGCTGCGGTATTGAACCGTCTGGCACTGGGTCTGTGGGGCGCATGGAGACAGGAGAATGGAGATGCATTCTGGATGGATCCACGCATCAGGTAATGAAAGCAGAGGCGACGGAGCAGCACCTAAAGCTCTGACACACGGCCGCGTAATCTACCACACCGTCTCCAACCTGAACTGTGGCAGAATGTTTCTCTGTGATCGTTGTGTGAATAAGCAACACAAGAGCACACTATTCTGCACCCGGTTAAAAAAGGTTCCAGCATAATTCTGTCCAGCGGCCCCAGAATCAAAAATTATACAGACAGACACTACAACTTGCTTCGTAATTCAGTTGATGACAGTGCAGGAAACATAGAAAGCCTATTCTTTAGTTTTCAGGTGATTGCATCCAAATTGTTGCCGCCGTCTATACTGGAGTATGCTCTTTCATATCTTAAAAAGTCTGGTTGCTCTTACAGATATAACCCTTTGTCTGGACTTAACTCAACACACAAATCTTTAAAAAATCATGATATGTTCTCTACTGTCTCTCCACTTCTTGACCCTATTCACACATAAACCAGTTATTACTAGACCTAGCTTGTCATTTCATGTCAATGCCTAATGCCTGAAAATTCATTGCGGGCTCTTATGGAAAAAAACACATCTCTTCCATCTGACCCACTTCTCAGTCATACTTTGAGCACAAACATCGATTCTTCTGAATATTAACGTACATCCCACTAATCCGCCACAGTGAACAGATAGTCAGGGCTATTCACTTAAACTGTCAGTGGTTGTATTGTTATGCCTGATTGGTGCATTGTGCATTTTTCAGCTTGTTCAAGGAGATAATGAGGCTGTGTGGGGAAAACCTTAGACTAGCTTGTCACTTGAGCCCAAATGTGCATCCATCTTGAACACACAAAGCACATTTTAGAGCGATGCCCTATAATCCACGCTGCTGGTATTGTTGGAGCAGTGTAATCCCACGCAACAACACGGAAAAAGTCAAGTAAAGGGGATACTCATTGGCCTTGGGAGCCTTCCATTAGGATCGGGGCCCTCAGTGCATGTGAATCCCTCCAACAGCAGCGCAGAATTAGACGCTAAGCCAAAAAGACCTTGAATCAGAGGATGCGAGAGAAGAGCAGTGTGTGTGAAAGTAAATCCGTGATCAATGCACGTGTCTCTGGGGGTCTCGCCATTCCACATGAATTCAGTTGAAGTGCTTGTTTGAAATTCCACGGCAAAATGTTTTGTTAAAAGAAAGGCTAGGCTGAATTGGCGGCCAATCGACTCA